CACTCATGTTTTCATGATCCAAAGCAATGGCTCTTGTTTCCCTTTCTCAGGGAGTCTATTCCTTTGTCTAACATTCTCAGAAATATAACGTGTTTTATCCCTGCCTTATTTCCCACTGCTTTCTTGCCTCTCTTTACCATTAGCTGTTGCACATCCTTTGTGCCATGTGTGTTCACCACTGAGGACTGTTCACGAGCTCCCCTCGAGAAATGCAGAATTAGTGAGGGAAGAAGTCAGAATCAAGCCAGTTCAAGACGGTTGCTGAGTTCAGCTCCAGATTCAGACACCTAAACAAAGGTGTCTCTGATGGAGGTGTCTCCATGCAAAGAGGGAGTCCAATCTCCCCTTGTATTCAAATGGAGATAGAGACAATACAACCACAGAGTCTAAGTAATGACCTTCAGACAGCTCTGACCATAATGACTGAGGAAACAATTTTTTTGAGCGTCACCTAATATCATTTGAGACGCCATGAGTACCCTGCCTCACTCCAGCTCCCAGCTCAAAAATGTTCTGGTCTTCTGTGTGCAAGTTTGTCACATCTGCCAGCTCCACGTGGAGGTCTGGAATATCCCAAAGCATCTCAAATGTTGCTGGATTCCCACCTGTGGTGGTTGCACTAAGCCTTCATTCTGTACTGAGTAATGTAAGGGACATTGTTTAACCATGGACACCCTGGGGTGAGTCTCTACTGAATCCTGCCTGAAATGCCCTGGCAAAGTGCACTGTGATGTGAAGATGTATTCCCTGCTTTCACTTGGATTTTACAGGAGACCTTGGGTAAATCCTCTAAATCTTAGTGCTTCATCTGTCAAATGGGACATTATAGACCTCTACCTTTCTGTGCTGAATGTAGGTTAGGAGATGTCTCACCATAAGGACTTTGGGGCTCGTCACTAAAGGGATCTGGGGGGTTAATTCTTGTGATGTGTCATTCAGGGAACAGGGACTTGACTCCTCAATGGTGCTGACTTTGGCCTGTGAGTCACTCTTTGCTTCCTAGCAGGTGACAGGAGGACTTCAAAGGCTGTTGTACAGTTTGAAGACAATCCTAGTCTATGCCAGTCTGACTTGTTAGGGGTAGGGGGGAGACAGATCCCACAGACTCAGCCCCATAGTAGCTGACCTCCTCCTGGCTTGAGAATGCCCAGAGATGTGGTTGTGCACGGTGGGAATGTTCCACTCCTGAGACTAAGAACAGAGTGGGAGGAGTGGGAGTGGTTTTTTTGAAGTGATTTCAGTTTTTACCCAACCTCATCCCTTTGATAAACAAACCTTGGAAGGGGGTTGAAACCTACTCATCGTAGATGAAGGTGCGTCAGTCACCATGAGCAAAACTCATAATCAAAATAAAAAGTTACTTCTCATATGATCCAACTTTCCAAGACTTTTTGTTCTAGTTATGATTGGAGAGATCTCTGTAGTTGGTTAGAAACAAGGTCTGGAGAAGTGGAGGGTCAAAAAAGAGACAGTTTATCCCACAGTCTGTGAGAATTGTAAATTGTGTGAAGATGTCACAGGGAAAGATGGGAATGAGAAAGTTGTGGTCAAGATGAGAAAAAGTGCTGTGTCATTTAAGTCTTTATAAAATAGCCAGGGAATAGTTTCTGTGGCAATGCAGTAAGAAGGACTGTAGAACTTTTCACATCACCCCATGTTTCCTGCTGACATCCACCTATGGGATCTCACCGCCTTACACCCAGGTCCATCACTAGGATGCCAAAACTCACATTCACCACAGACTCTTGAATTTTCAAACAACGGCAGAAATATGTCAAAATATCTGGAGATACTCCATTGCCTCCCTCAGATCTTGGTGCAAACGGGGAGACAATGAGCTGTTTGTGAGGGTAGCACTCATCCCGCCTGACTGCCTCTGCTCACGCGTGCCCTTGGCAAGGGTTGGAGTCAGACACCTTGGGAGCATGAGTCAACCACTCCTTGTCCCACACATGGATCTTAGGACAGGGTGAATCACTTTCTGGGGGTGTCTGCCTCTCTCTGCTGACTGGCAGAGACGTTCAGATGACTATCAGCAGGCAGGGACCGTGCAATGTGAGTGACTCAACACACGTAATCTCAGCTCTGTACAATTTACAGCCCTGGCTGTGATTAGTGGAACGTTCTTCACTGAAAACGTTACAGAAAAGCCTTTCTGTGTAAACTGAGGGGTTGTTTCAGGTGTATTTTAGTCCTCTCTCTACTCTAGAATAAATGAGCCCAACATAAACATTTTTAAGCCAGGGTGACAAATCTGTCTCCTGAGGGTTGGTGCTGCTTGAGTTTCAGGGTACAGGTACACCTAATGCCCAACAAATTTTTAGCAAAACAGCACTAAAATATACAAGTTTCTAGTAAAGCAGCATTAAAATAAGACATAATTTTTTTCCTGTTAATCAGGGAAAGTTTTTAAACTGAATAGCTAAAAAATACTGCAACAAACAGTACTTATACACATAACTTTAAAATTGTGTGGCATCACTCAGCCTTCCAGAACTGTTAATTATGTCTACCAAAAATGTAACACATCTGGAAGGTTAAAAATAAATCTCATCTACATCTGCTTGGGGCTGAGGATGTTCACATTCAGAAGTTTCCATCCAGACTGAGGGAGCTGGGCCTGTTTAGTCTGGAGAAGAGAAGACTGAAAGGGGATCTCATAAACCCATATAAATATTTCCAAGGCAGGTGCCAAGAGGATGGTGCCACTCTTTTCAGTGGCAGGACAAGGAGCAATGGCCATAAACTAAAGCACAAGGAACTCCATCTCAACATGAGATAGAACTTCTTTCCATTGAGGGTGGCAGAGCACTGGAACAGGTTGTCCAGTGTGGTTGTGTAGTCTCCTTTTGTGGAGGCACTCCAAACCCACCTGGATGAGTTCCTGTGTCAGCTGCTCTAGGTGACCCTGCCTTGGGAGGGGGACTGGACCAGATGGTCTCCAGGGGTGCCTTCCAACCCAAACTATTCTGTGATTAGAATCCCCAAGCCCCATATCTATTGTTTCTTATTGAGGACTTACAACTTGGAGGAAATCATGGTTTTCTTAAAGCTGGTGGCTTCAAGCTTCCCTGTTTGATAAGGCCACTGGTCTTACTGGTTTGTGGCTTTTTTTTTTTTTTTAATTTAGTCAGAAGTGCTAAAGCAGCTGTGAGTCCAAAGGCAAAAGATTCAGAGAGATAAGCTGATGGAAAGACACAGTTTTGGTGGACCTGCAGGCTGTGAGAATTCCAATGAGGGGCAGAGATGGAGCTCTGTCATCCTTCCTGGCCACCTTCCTCATCACCTCTGCTCCAGACATAGATAGGTTGGAAGGAGGGAAATCTAATCCCACTGCACTGTGGGGTGGGCTCCTCAAAAAGAGGATAAAGTCTATGGAGTGAGGTCTGAAGAGCCAGTGGATCTTATTTGCATTCCCATGGAAGCCAGGCCCCTGTGGGCAGAGAGAAAAGAAAACAGGAGAAGAAGAAATTTAGGGGGTTTGGGCATTTTAGCTTTTTAACCCTGAGTAGCTGCAGAAAGATGTTCCTTGGGTTTTTTAGGGTAGGAAAATTAAAATAAGAGCTGGTTGGAACCAGGTGATCATTAAGGTCCCTTCCAACCCAGGCCATCCTATGATTCTCTGACCTTCTAATATGTTACACATCAGAGAAAGAAAGGTGTTATTATTTGTTTTGCTTACAACCATTAGCATTTTTCCCTTAGTATTTATAGGTGATGCTCCCAGACAAATCTTTGGCCAAAGCTCAGTCAAACTATAGCTACAAAAATTATTGAACTTCCCAAACATGGATTTTGGTCCATCATCTGTTCCCTCACCTGCAGAACAGTTGTGCAGTGAGCAGCAGTGGGAGCAAAGGAATAAGATGCCAGTGACTCCTTCTTTTCCCAGGAATCTGTCAATTAATTTTTATTGTGATGCTTTGCTCAATGAGTTGTTCAATCCACCCTTGTGATGATCAATGGTTTTTTTTTATTTTTAAAAGCCTCTGAAGTGTAGTGGGGCACTATCTTATCTTTCGGAGAAAATAAATTGTTTAAGTGTTGGTTGGGATGATGACTTAGTTGAGATGATGGTTGGTTAAGACTGATTTCCCTTTGGAATATCACAGGGTGCCTTCTGAGGGTGACCTCAGGGCTGGAATTGCAGGCACTGATGGGAACAATCCTCAGGGTCTGAGTGCTTTGGGCAAGAGTGGACCAAATCCAAGGTCTCCTCAGAGGGTCACACCAGGAGCAGAAACAGGGCTGGAGACACAACTGTGACTTGGATCTGTGGTCCATCCAGGAGACAAGGCTGGAGATGAGCTACCTCCTATATATGTCTTCAGTCCATCCTGTAACCAGGGCAGGGGATTTTCTGGAGGGATCAGATTCTTTGTTTTGGGACCATTTGAAGGGTACTGATGAGTCTTGATGCTCCCTGTGTTTATATATTTATATGCATAGGACAAAAAAAACGCCTATTTTTCTCAAAGGCAAATGCAAATGGAGATTCCTGAGTAAGGCAGAATCAATGGGAATGTTGCTCATATAAAAGTATTTTAGAATAGGAAAGAATCCATGCAGCTGCAGGGAGCATGGATGTCCTGCTCTTGCAGTGGTGCATTCCAAGATAAGATTCCTTTCTACAGAAAACAACCTTCATACTTGGGATGAAGCATTTAGATGGGATCTGGATTTCAAATTCTCAAATGTGGATCCAATCAGGATGAGCACAGAGGTTGTTCCCCATTAAAAGAGAAGAGCTGGGGTGGGGAGGCAGAGCCGGTGGCTCCTGGAGATCAGGACAATGTGTCAGAGAACTCCTGAATGCAGCATCCTTTCCAATTCCCACACTGATATTTCTGTATTTCTCTCCTCCAGACTGTAAGGACAACCTGACGTGAGTTGAACCTTCAGGCTCCCAAGCCTGCCCCCGATGCAATAATTTAGTGAGCAGATGATGTTTTCAACCAAACCTCCTCTCTAACCCAGTGGATCTGTGTGTCTTCCGGCAGGTGTGTCCTCTGTGGCCTCCCTGATGTCCCTGGCTTGGGTGCTAGCCTCCTATCACAAGCTTCTTCGGGACTCTAGGGACGACAAGAAGAGTATGAGCTACAGAGGGGCCCTCATCCATCTCTTCTGGCGCATCTTCACCATCTCATCCCGAGTTATTTCTTTTGCTCTCTTTGCTTCCATCTTCCAGCTCTACTTTGGGATCTTTGTAGTGGTCCATTGGTGTGCCATGGCTTTCTGGATCATCCATGGTGGGACAGATTTCTGCATGTCTAAGTGGGAGGAGATCCTCTTCAACATGGTGGTAGGGATTGTGTACATTTTCTGCTGGTTTAATGTCAAGGAAGGGCGGACTCGATACCGAATGTTTGCGTATTACACGGTGGTCCTGACGGAGAACGCGACCTTGACGCTCCTTTGGTATTTTTACAGAGATCCTGAAACCACTGACTCATATGCCGTGCCAGCACTGTGTTGTGTCTTTCTTAGCTTTGCTGCTGGGATAGCTTTGATGCTGTTATATTATGGTGTGCTGCATCCCATGGGGCCAAGAGCTAAGATCCTTGTCAGCTCCTGTTGCGCCGAGCTGCTCTGGGGCATTCCTTTGCCCCCCGATGTTGAGCCCATGGCGCCCCAAACCCCTGGGTACCGGGGGGCCCAGGCTACGCCCACCAGAGCGGTCACGGAGCAACAGGAGGAACTCACAGCTGACACTTGCTTGCCCGTTTTCCAGGTGAGAGCAATGGTTCCATCTACTCCATCTGGGCGACCCTACCCACCCGAGGGGCCTCTCATTAAGATTGACATCCCAAGAAAAAGATATCCTGCATGGGATGCTCATTTTGTAGACAGGAGGTTAAGAAGAACTATCAACATCCTCCAATATGTCACCCCCACAGCTGTAGGTATTAGGTATAGAGATGGACCTCTCTTATATGAGTTGCTACAATATGAATCTTCACTTTAAAAGCTCCTTAAAGCAAAAGTAAAAGAGGGGACCTTATTTTTGTTTACGGTAAACACAGATCATGAAACAAACACAAACCTTCAGATAAGCTTTCTTTCTGGTTGCTGTATGTATAAAAAAAAGAAAAAAAAAGATATTCTCTATGTTTTGTAAGTAAAAACAAAAAGAAAAACTTTTCTTTTGTTTTTTACACACAAGAAACAGTATTTCAACTTCCACACCTAGGATTCACAGGTGGAGAAGGAGGCATCTCCACATCAGTTTTATACCGTACACCAAGTGTAGAACATTATTTATGGGATTGGTGCTGATTGAAAAATAAAAAAAACAAACAAACAAACCTACAACTGCCTTATGCCCTTAGGTGCTGAGTTTCATTAAGTACTGTCACCTTTCTCATGCAAAACTCTTTGATGATTATATGCCAGGAAAAAAAAAAGAAAAAAAAACAAAACCAAAAAACCAACTGAAATGCAAACCTTAAAATTTAAAAAAATAGTAAAAAAAATGAACAACAACAACAAAAAGAGAGAAATGTATGAAAAAGAAAAATCCCGTTGCTTTTATTGGATTTATCAGAAAAATAACCAAACCCAAATGTCTAAAGATAAGAAAGCAAAGCTGAGACACCCCTAATGGAGTTTGGTTTTTCCAACAGCTGAAAGACAAAATCAGGTCTGTAAGATAATTTGGCAAGGAATTTATAGCACCAGTTGGCCAAGCCTGTGAGCCTTGACCGAGTTGTGTTATGAACGCGATCCCACCATGGAACCGTTTTCCTTGTGGAAATGGATCATGTGGAATGGTGGGTTTGCACCAGATTAGTGTGATAATGATGGATCTGATCTTGTTTCCAACAATTGCACGTGCTAAAGCACCACTGTCTCCAGTGGAGCAAATACCAAAAGCCTGAGCCCAGAATAAGGCCTGCCACCTTGAATTCTGGAAAATACGGAATTATTGAAATTACGTACCAAAAACATCCTCCTAAAGTCCATTTACACATATCTAATAATAATTATTTCAGTAATAATAAAACTCAGCATAGTAGCAAAAAGCGAGTCAATTTAAAGGCACAATACTTGATCAGTGACTGGCAAAATAATTTGACCTACTGTATCATTTTAAGGCTGTGAAAGGCATACATGTATTATTTGTAATCTCGTGTAAGACCTGTCATGTCTCATTCAGTGCGAGCCTTAAAGTGATTGTAAAGCATCCTTTCGTTCCATTTTGGGGATTTTTGGGTTTTGATTTTTTGTTTTTGTTCTGTTTTGTTTTTAAGGAAAACAAAACATGAAAAGTCGGGATCTAAAAAAAAAACAAACACAAAAACAAACAAAAAAAGGCAAACAAACAACAACAAAACAACCAACAAACTTCTTCAAACGGTAATAACCTGTAAACTGACTCACGTCTCGAGATGATTTGGTGCTTTGTATTTTTCGTTGATGTTGTTGTTGTGATTTAGCTGAGAATTCTTCGACTCGGTACATGTGGGGAACTGCTGATAAAAAACTGTCTCGTGTCACCCTCTACTGTAAGTACATGGCGAGAAACAACAAGCAGAGGAGATCCAAGAGCGTAGCGAGAGCATCGTGGTTTAGCTTTAGCCTTCTCACCGCAAGGAGATGCTGCCACCTCCGACGATGGCAAAGCCCAGACGGTCACCTGCCGAGGGCTGAGTGGTTGTCTTGACATTTCCAAGTAACCCGCTCGGTGTCTGAACATTCCCATCTCTCCAATTCTGTTTCTGTGCTGGAATCTCTTTGTTTTCGAGTTCGATCACGGGTTTGCGTCTGTCCAACAACACCCTTTTTTTTTCTGTTTCGAGAGTATTGCTCCTTTAAAAGGAATAATCCCGTTTCAGGGCACCTTTTCAATCCCACCATCCCTCTACTTGGGAGGGGAAAAAAACAACAACAACAACAAAATGAGGTATTTTTAAGTGAATGCTGTAGTATTTTCTGTGTGTAATTGCAATTTTTTATTCCAGAAATACTGTAACTGTCTACGGTGCAAAACTCCCATGCTGACCTATTCTGAAGAGGAGATCAGCATGGGGGGGATATTTTTTAATTATGATTATGATTTTTTTTTAATTTGAGAAATCAGTTGGTTTTTTTAATTATAATAGTATTTAAAGGAACTAGTACCAATTTTATATAACAGTTTAAAGAAGCTGAATGCTTTCTTCGCCTGAATATACCTGAAGAGAAACATTTTTTTCAATCAGTGATCCTTTGCAGTGTTCTGAGAAAATGTTGGGGTTTCTTCAGTTGTTTCATTTTGTTTTGTAAAGGAAACTTTTAACTGGTGTCTGTCCCTTTCCAGGAGGGCAGGACTCACTCACGCCAAACTATAGACACACGGCAAAGTTTATATGAAGCCAAATTGTCACTGGTACTGTAATTCCCAGTCAAACTCCATTTCAGGCAAATGTTTCTGGGCTCTGATTACAACTGATGTGATGGTCACATTTTCATGGAAAGGGAGGGATTTGGTCTTGTCATTCCCTATCTAACTTCCCAGTCCCTTGTTTACTGTGCACATAAATACATATATATATATGTGTGTGTGTGTGTATATATATATACACACATGAACTTATATATATTTATACATTAACTTATATATATTTGTGAAAAGCTTTCATTTCCCTTCTCCATTGTCTGTGTCACAAAACCACTCCCTTCTCAAGTGTCCTACTAACATTTCACCCTGTTTCTTCCCTGATCAGACTCCATAAAAAAAGGTAATTTGTGAAGTGAACTCGCTGTCCTCACCTACTGAGTCATAAAAACATGGAGGTGACCATCCTCCAGCAACAGGCCTGCCTTTCTCCTCCCAGGACTTTCTTTTCACCTACCTTTAATGCAAGTGTAGGCTTAACGCTGATCCAATTCCCTGTGTAAAGAGTCTCCTTGGTCCTTCCACGAAGAGCTCTCCTCTGCAATCTGCATATCATTGGCATAAGCATGAGAAAGGAATGGGTGGCAAACAACCCTGATGTTCCCTGGAGGCCTCTCTTCCAGGAGATAGCATCCTTATTTTCAAAAGCACCATGAGAAGGTCCCTCTCCCCAAACTTGTCCCCCTTGAGGTCTGGAGATGGGATCCCAGTCACTGGCCCCACTGAACCGCCGGATGCTGCCGCTTCACACCAGGACAGTGAAAGGAGCCAACGAACCATGGCACAGTGTCACCAGGTGTCGAGGAGGAGACCCTCCAGTGTTGCCTCTCATGAGCAACTTCAGCCTGCCTTCCCTCAGGAACAGGATCTTATTCCACACCACCACACCAACAGCTGTCCTCTCCCTCCTGTGATGGGAGCGGAGGGGCAAAACACTCTGGAAGTGTCCTTACTTCTCAATGCAGTGCTAATTTCTCACAACCAAACCAGCTTAACTAAGGGCTTGACACATCCCTGTTCCAAAGTCCTCCTACTTCGTGGCTCATAGTATGGATAACAACAAAGGCAGGGGCCTCCACTGCGTGTTAAGACTGTTTCATTACTCTTGGTTGCATAAACTTTCTGCCTCTGTTTCTAATCCTTTCTTTGAATGACATCCACTGGCATCTTCATGGAGCAAAGGATTTCCAGTGAGAGCCTGTGTCAACCCTGAAGAACTATTTCTTTTTTCAAGGACTCCATTACAGCCTTAACGTAAAGCACGTGCTCTGCCACTACACCCAACGAGTTCACAGTGGACAGTTTGGGGTGGTGACCATTTCCTCTTGGGATTACCTGTGATCTTGTTGCCAAACAGCGCCTTTTGCCAAGCCAAAAGCTCAGGGAGGAAAACTACCCCCAGCTCTTTATTGGTACTAATCCCAGTGCTGAGTCTAGACCTCTCCTCCTGTTTTGTTTATTTTTTGCCCTTTGACTTTTCCTGTGAACTTTTTCCAGGATAGTCAATGACTTGTTTTGGTTTCACCTTGGTTTTAACTCCTCAGCTTACCCCTGGTAGCTCAGTTATATCATGTCCCACTTTCTTGCCAGAAGATACCGAGTGAGGAGTTTTTCAAACTGCCATGGAGAAGGTTGAGCCTGTATTTATTTACATCACAAGATCAGCGGGCAACTTCTCTGGCACGTTTGTGCTGCTGGATTCACCCTGGAACCATCTAAACCAGCCAACTGTGCCGTGCCAGGGCAAAGCTGAGGCATGAGGGCTCCACCATTCCGACTGTTATACTGTTCAAACCTTCCCTGGCATGGTTTTGACCCACTCCAACGAGCCCTGGACTCGGGCACACCTTCCCCAGGCATGGCCAGAGACCATCCCCATCCAGCAGTTTGGATGCAGCTGCTCTGCATCAGGGGTGGAAGATTTTAGCAGTGTGATTGGGGCCAGCACTTCTCAGTTGGCCTCGTGGCCAGAATGGATCCTGGAAGTGCTTAATTTGCTAATAAATATGTAACTCTGTGCCCACAGACCAGGATTCAGGACGTGGTGGAGAACGTCAGCTCCAATCTGGCATTTTTCTGCTTTCTGCCCTATTCAATGGACAAGTTGTTTTTCAGTTCACTCTGTTCTTTTTGCTGAGGTTGTTTTGCAAACAGCGTCACTTTTATCGCTCTGATGTCAACCCATCCATCCCTCCAACCATGTCAGATGGGTGGCATTTTTACTGTGATAGTGTTATACAACCATAGGCAGCTAATTCGGAGACAGGAATGATTCAGATCAGACCAAATCAACAATGGAAATACAGGAATTACAAGGTCCCTGCCCATGCCCTTGTCATGCTTTGCCGCCCACACAAGGCATTTTTTATCTGCAGCTTTTCCAACCTGAACTGCAGAAGAGGAGCCAATGTTGAATAATTACCAGTGAAAACTGCAAGTGAGCCACCGTTTTTGAGTGTAAATATATATATTTTCAGTGTTTGAGATTGGAGCTAATTCTCTGCTTCACCCCGTCCTTCTCTGCACCTGCCAAAAGTCAGCACTCATTTGCATGTATTTTTATTTAAAGCTGACTGGATGAAAAAGGACAAAATTAATTCCAGGCTTTAGTCAATGGTCTGCTAAAGCCTGGCTCATCAGGGGAGCATTGCTATTGACTTTCAGAGCACAATCTCCCTGTGCTCTTCAGCTATATTTCTGTACACACAAGAATCACTTCACAATTTACCCTTCCCTCCGTCCCCTGCACAGAAATGCATGTTCCACCTGTCACCCGCACACCTGACTAAACCTCCTGAAGAAAATGTGGTCTGAGGTTCATCCAGCATGATTCCATTGAAGCTCAGAGGTGCTTTGAAAAGGAAAACTTACTACTGTGCATTTGCAAAACCTTTTAGTGCCTGCTTGCTGGGCAGCTTGGGCAGGAGACAATTTGGAAGCTGCCGGAGTCAGCGGAAAATTGTGGAGACAGGCTTTTTCTAGGGATATTTTCTTCTTTTACTGGGTTTGCTTTTCTCTGGGTTCTGT